TAGCAAAGTTAAATTATGAACAGAAAAAGACACAATTCACATCTCACATTATTTTATAGTCTTTTGGATTCTGGTAAGGTTGAGCGGTCAGTGGCTCTGGCTGGTGGATATCAATGACCCCATTGGAAATTGTTGGATGATGAACAATTGGTTAAGACTCATATCTTTTTCTGGATGTGATAATTGAACTGAGGTGAATCCCTTGAGCAAGAAGATTAGATGGGCTAGAACTAATAGTGAAGGAAACTCTATTTTCCGGTTTATTCCAACTTAAATCTAGGGACATAAAACTTCAATTTACTGGCTGAGCAAAGGTCATGAGGTGATGCACAAGCAATGTTACAGTCAGATTTCAAGGTGTCTGGAGTGGGTATCATTTAGAATCCAAAAGCTTAGGGTTAGAGTAGGATGATTTCAAGTATCAATAGCAAATTTGTACCTGTGCTCAAAATTCAGCTTGGAAAAAGCAGTTTCTCTAGTAAGAAGTCTATAAATAAAAGATATGCACTGAGGACTGACAGAATATCCCAAATGTGATAACTAAAGTTGATGTCTTTTTTTTTTTCTTACTGAAGACAATATTTATTTTTAAAAGCTTATCTGGAATTAAGCACAATTACTCACCCAGACTTCTTTACAATTACTCTCATTTGTTCATTTATTCTTCCATTCATTCATTAAAAGTATGTTTATTGAGACTCCATTATGTAAACCAGAGCTGGAGATCCAGGCATTAAAAAGACAGGCTTGGCCCTAGCCCTCCTAAAGCTCATATTCAAGGAGAGCACATGGGCAAAACAATTAATTTCATAAGTGGTCATTAAATTACAATTGAGATTGGAGGTCCTGGAGGATGGTAAAGTGTGCTTAGAGCATAATTGGGGGAATCTGATATAGTCTGGGGTTAAAGCATGTTTCCTTGAGACAAGAAATTCCACTGATCCCTAAAGGATGGAGAGATGTGAATAAAAGAAGTATGAATTGATGGAAATAGTGTTGTACAGAAAGCAGCATATGCAAACCTCCTGATGTGGATGGCCCGGGGAAGGTCAGGGTCTCAGGAGATAGAGATAATGGAACACGATAGGCAGGTAAGGGAGCTCCCACTCTGCTGTGCTTTCTATTAGCATGCAAAGGGCATGATCTTTATTTTAAGAGCAACAAGAAGATATAAAAAGGTTTTAAATAAAGATTGACATGGCCATATTTTCATTTTAAAAGGAGTGCTCTGGGGGCGCCTGGGTGACTCAGTCAGTTAAGCATCTGCCTGCAGCTCAGGTCATGATCCCGGGGTCTTGGGATCAAGCCTCGTGTGGGGCACCCTGCTCAGTGGGGAGTCTGCTTCTCCCTCTCCCACTTCCTCTCCCCCTGCTGTGCTCTCGCTCACTCACTCTCTCAAATGAATAAATAAAAAATTTTAAAAAAAAAGAGTGCTTCTGGATTGAAAATTAGAAGAGTAAAGAAGACTAGTTAGGAAACCATTTCTATAATTCAGAGAAACTCTAATAGAAGCTTGGACTAGGGTGATGGCAATATAACTGGAGAAAATAAACAGAGATGGGAGACATTTAAGAGGTGAAATGGACAGGATTGGGTGATTAATTGAAAATGGGGATAGGCAAGGATGGTTTGAAGAATGACTTCCTTTTTAAGGTTCTGTGTAATTAGGCACAGTGTTACTATTTATTGATTAAAAGAAAACACTGAGGAAGGAAGAATTTTGGGAGCAATCATTGATAAACTTGAATAAATTAATGATCCATAAATATATTGCATTCTAACAAAGTAGATGAAACAAAATATTCATGTTTTGATAGCACTTTTCTGTCACCTGGGCAGTGACCAATATGTTTAACACAAATGTATCTCCTTTCATGGATAAAGTAACTGATTACAGCTCTGGAGAAAAAAAAAAGTTAGAGGAAACTAATTTTTATAGAGCAACTACTATGTCCAGACACTATCCTTTTTGGGCTATGTATTTTACTTCATTGACTCTGTACACCTATCCTAGGAGAAGTAATTACTATCATTCTTATTAAAGAACAGAGACTAATTAAGCTCATTTAAATTTGCCAAGTTTTCACAGTAAATGGCAGAGTTAGTCTTTATAATTCCATGTCTTTTCAACTCTAAACCACACGCTTATGGAAGCAGCAAATATGTATCAAATGCCTACCATGAGAACTTAGTCTTCAGTATGCGATATAGACCTGTAAGGAGGCAAGTACAATTAGTGAGAAGGACTAAGACATTTCCAGATGCCCAGGAAACATTTGGAAGAGTAGCCTCTAAGGCCATCATGGGTGTATCAATTAAAACTGTCTGAAAGAATTATCTTCAAGTATAAGACCTGAAGAATGCAGAAATCTGGAAGTCTTTTCACTGTACCTAAAAATATTTTCAAAATGAAGGAAATTGAATATCTTTAATTCAAGTTATCTAGATAATTACATTAACTGTCCATATTGCCTAAATTTTCACTTTCTACTTCATTGCCCACTCATGCAGTTGTGACTTCAGAAATGGAAGTGTTACAAGATGAATGATCTTACCATGTGGCAGAGAACTAAATGTAAATTGATTTTATAACAATATGATTTACCAGTAAATAATATTCAGCTCTTTTGTGTAATCATCTACATGTACTGATCTATGACACTTTGATCAATACCTTCCATGGTTTCTCCCTTTATTCAATATATTTGGCTTTGTCTGTCTTCCTTCATAGATTATGGACTTTCATTTTCTATTTTACTTTTCTGTGTAACAAGATTTCAGATTACTTTGTCTTTATTGTATCCCTGAATCATATAAACACAAAGTATATAAATATGCCTTTGTAGTTTCAATTTTCGTTATTTGGTATTTGTGAATATTGTTGACTTCCATCCACATCTCTTCCACCCACACGTTTATTTTGAAGACATGTAATAAATGAGGAACACAAAATTCTACTAAACACCTAACTACATTTCTGGTCTTGCTTTGCCATCTTCAGCTATCTTTTAATCTCCATGAATGTTAAATGACTTTCAGTTTTTAGAATGAAGTATTATGGTACATTGCCAGATACATGATGGTTAAAACACCCACAGACTTTTGGCAGGGAATAAATCAGTGAATGTTCGTATGGGTGAATGGTGTCTTAACAAGGGAACCATATGCGTTCCAATGAAAGGTTTTATGAAACCAGAACTATATATGTTCCAAGGAAAGGTTTTATAGAATTATATATGTAATTAAAAGAGTAAATATATATAATTAAAAGAGAAAAATGTATCGAGCAATTTCTGCCACCTGAAAACTTAGATTTTTTAGAAGGTGAAAGCTACAGAGCTTCTTTGATAAGTAAAGGGCAGTTTTCCTTTATCTCTGATGGCTATCTCTGGAGTGGCCTTATGTCCGTCCACATGAAAACTTGCACATGTAATAGCAGCTTTCTCATAACTGCCAAAAACTAGAAGTAACCAAGATGTCCTTCAATAGCAGAATGGATAAACTGTGGCATCTTTACACATGGAATATCATTCAGTGATAATAAAGAAATGGGCTGTCAAGCCATGAAAAGACATAAAGGTAAGTTGCTAGGTGAAGGGAGCTGGTATGAAAAAGCTTCACACTGTATGAACAAAACTACAGAGATAGTAAATATATCAATGATTGCCAGGGGTTTGGTTTTGGGGAGATTGGAATAGGTAAAACAAGGGAGATATCTGGGGTGGGGGTTAAAATTATTCTTCATGACACTGTAATCATGGATCCATGTCACTATGCATTTGTCAAAATTCATAGAATTGCAGAGTATAAAGAGTGAATCCTCATGTATACAAATTAAAAAAATATTGAGGAGTTGATGTATCTGTGGATAGAATGTAGAATGTGGCAAAATAATCAACCATACTACAAATGTATGAAACAACCTCACTAAAAGAGGTAAGAGAAGAATACACCAACATAAATAACTCTGGAAACATGTGGTATCTTCGAAACTAAAGGCAAGAAACAAACAAACAACAAAAAACAAATGAACAAAAAACTAAGCACTGTACTCTTGTTGATACCATTATGCATACATACTGGAATTGAATAGCTCATTGATTTGACAACAGATGCTGCAAGATTACATATCAGCAAGGAGAGGGAGATAAAATGCCTCATATGGTAATGGATTGGAATTGGAGACATCAATTGGAACTTATTTTGACAAAGAGATATAAATTGTTACATATGAAATTTTTATAGATATGAGCATATACGTGGGTTAGTACACACACACACACACACACACACACACACACATACACACACTTCTGTGTTTTGTCAGCTGAGAGGGTTTAGAAGCAAAAACACCCAAGTAGCAATGAGCATAACTATGCTCAAATCTTGATTTCTAATACCATTCTCCAATAAAAGGAACCAAGTATCCTAGGAGAAAGGAATGATTCTAGGAATGGGTAGGAAATACACAAGATGAGCTTAGTGCATCTTGTAGTGACAGAAAGTAAGGACTTTATAATTAAAAAAAAAACAAAACACCCTTAATTATGGGAATATGTTAAAGGGACACAGGAACTATATTGGCAACTAAAGAGTTCCCAAATGGTTAAAGCAGGAACAATTTGAGCTACAAAATAAAGTAATACTGGATTATCACCCAAAGTATAAAATAAATATCCATTAGTCCATATTTACATTAATAAATAATTCAGTAACTACATTAATAGGGGATTAGAGAAAAATTGCCATGCAGAAGAATTCCAAATAATTTATATAGATAATTTGTCCTCAAGGTGGTGCAGGCCAGGCATAGTGAATTCCTTCCAGAAAGTACAATCTGGAAAGGGGGAAAAGAGTAACTTTCCCATGGAGAAACTGACAAACACTACTTCAGTCAGGTGACCAGATTCAGTATCAATAGTGGTAAGTCATGTTGACCTTATATACTCTTGATAAAATGGTACTTTTGCTCTGTGGTCTTCTTCACTAAAACTCATTAGCCCAGTCTCATCATGAGGAAAACATACGCCAAAGCCTAATTGAGGAACACTCTACAAAACACCTGATCAGTATTCCTCAAAGCTCTCAAGTCCATCAAAATCAAGGAAAGTCTGAGAAACTTGCAGACAAGAGGAACCTAAGGAGACACAACTACTAAATGTAATGTATCCTCGATGAGAACCTGGAACAGAAAAAAAGACAGTAAGTAAAAACTGAAGTAATCTGATAAATATGGACATCAGTTAATTTAGCAATATTGGCTCATTAGTTGTAACAAATGTACCTTTCTAATGTAAGATGTTAATAATAGAGGAAGTTGGGCATGGAGTATATAGGAATTCTATGTATTAGTTTTGCAACTTTTGGTAAGTCTAGAACTACTCTAAAAGAAAAAGTTTATTTTAAAAATAATAACAAATTTTTGTAATCTGAAAGCTTGGACTTGGAAGTTGACAGGTACAAAGATTGTTTGAGAAATAAAGGAAGATTTTCTCTCTTTTCTGAGGTTTACGTTGAGATAGAGATCTAAAAGAAGAAGAGTAATGGTAATTTCCATATGTTTCATATATACAGATATGTGTGTGCATTCAAGTAAAGGAAAAAATAATCATGTGATAAATAATATCTACATAGCTTCAGTCTTTAATTCCTGAAAACAGTAAACACATTCCCAAACCATTCATTTATTCGTTCATCTTTTTTCCCACTCAGCAAACATTTACTCAATGCTAACTATACAGTCTGTGCTATTCTAACATCTGTGGGAAAGAACACAAGCAAGATCTCTGCCATTATAACAGTTAAGTTATAATGAGGGAAAAGGGATAATCAACAAGTAAATATAACTTTAGGTTTTACATTTTCAATGAGGGAATGTATAGGATGTCAGAATATTTTGGTAGTCTGGAAAGGCCTTTTTGAGAAAGTGCTATTTCAACTGAGACCTGCAAATAGAAGGAGTGAAGCACAAGAAATAACTGGAAGAAGAGTGTTGGATACAGAAGAAACAGCTTAAAAATGTCTTGGTAGTTGGAACAAGATTGATGTGTTGAAAGAAGAGCCTATACAAACTAGAGTAGGTGGTGTCTCTACACTCAACACCTCCTCTCTGTTCTTTCAATACATCAGTCTTATACTTATCTGAGATAGAGAGAGGGAGAATGAGAGAGATGTAGGAAACACTGATGGTTTTAAGGGTAGAAAGGCTTTTATTACAGAGTATTAAGAATTGTTTGAGTGACTGAAGAAAGACTTAAGTTCTAAATTCTAGAAATGATTCTCAAGCTACAACAGGGAACCCAGCCACCATGGGAACTATGCCTCTTCTAAGATCAGGCAACATGACTACAGAATTCCATTCCTACTGGCATGTTTCAGAAAACTATTACTGCCAGATCTAGAATCAAAGCTCTCTGACACACTCTATGAAAACAAAATGGACACCTCACTCTTGAAACTCTTGAATATAATGGCTGGCCTTTGAGAACTCTACCAGTGGTTCCATGGCAGAAATAAATCCTCTGAAGATTCTGCCTGCCAGGCAGAAGCAGCAAAAACAGTAGGAATTCTGCCCTCCCCTGAGTTTTGCCTCTCAATTCACATGAGAAGGCATTGATTTGTTCAAAACGAAATCCCATTTTTAATCACGGGTTCCAGAAAGTCTGTTAAACATAATTCTCGCTGTACACACTCTCCATTGTGGGAAGCACATTGGAAGTAGAAAGGGCTGATGGTTTCAAGGAAAGCAAGTGATTGTGTCAAATGTTACTCGAAAAAATGGGGCTGGAGATACGCCAATTGAATTAGAAAATATAGAGCTCATTAGTGCCCTTGACAAATGCAGTTGCTGTTAGAATCATGGGATTAGAATACACTAGTTAAGACATGCAAAGAAATGCACATGAATTAAACTCTAAGCCAAAGCATTATGAGAAATCAAGGGTTAGGTCCTAACACTCAACTCATTGCTTCCCAGCAGACATTTAATGTGAAGGTGATGAAGAGGGCAGTTCAAAGGTCATGGAGTCAAATTGATGGGCTAGAGGTGGCTTGCCTTCAAAGTATGGATATCAATGTCTTATTAAGCTAAGCAAATCCAGAAATATGTTAAGAACGGGATATGTCTTTATTTCCCCAGCTGGTCAGTTTAAAAGTGAGAATGTAGACAAGCATCAAGTCCAAATAATAAAGATAAAGTTTCAAAGTAAATAAACAGTTTATTTAGCACTTTTGGAACCAAATGGGATTGTTTCTAGTAAAGGTATAGAAAAGTTTCCATAAGAGGATCATGAATTGATGGTTTGTATATCAGGGCTTTCTCCCCCCCATGTGAATGCTGCATGATGCACAAGTGAGCATGATTGTGGCTAAAAGTACCTCTGTTTTGGCAAAGAAATATGAAATGATTAACTGTATGTTGAAGTAAAATATTTTTTCCTTCTATGCTGCCTCTCAGGTTGGGATAAATAAATCAACAAGGGACTTTAGTTCAGCTTTGGTATAATAAAGCAGTTATTCATAGGATTCCACTTCCAAAAATTCATGTTTTACCCAGTGGAAAAAAGTATTCCAAGATGCAACATATCATGCTGTCTACTGACTCCAAAGTAAATACAAACATGTCTACATTCTGTAAACACAAATTGTAAATTGATCCTTCCCTTTCACTACATATCACAAAGTTTCCAGTCACTTCTTTATCTCTATCCTTCACTAAATAATTTGCCCCCCCAAAATCATCATTTGAGTTTAGAGTTCCTGTTTGAGAGATAGCTGAGTGTAACCTTCACAGAGAACTTTCCTTGGTTTCCTAATTTCTATTATGAGTGGCAAAAATAGCATCATACTTTCTACTTATTAGACAATGTAAACAATGTTTCTTTTACTTCCTTTCTTTCTTTTTTCTTTTCTTCCTTTTTCCCCCCCTATCATTTGGCTAGTTCTTTCTTTCTTTTTAACTCATGGGCATATGTCCCTCTATGAATTTCTTCCCTATCTCTCTTTTACTCTAACCTATATTAGGGTATTCTCCTTCCCTTTCTTTCTTCCTTCTCCAGACAGATTCCTTTTCTTCCCTCCTTCCCCATTGCTCTCCAATGTCTTCCTCTTCCTTTACGTCTCTGCTCAGATGACATTTCACAGAGGAAAGCAGAGAAAGCTTCTATCCAGTGTCCTGAAGGAAAGTGTGTCAGGATCACTTTTCATTTGTGGTTTGGTTTCCTTCTGCCCTGAAAAGTATTGTCATAGGATTTGTGAATGGCGAAGAGATCACTGATGTAAATCCGCACCACCGGTTTTGTTTCTTTGACTTTTATCTTTTCCTAAGTTATATTTCATTCCCAAAACCAAGTTTCTCGCATCTAGATCATAATGAATTTTTTTTGTTTGTTTATCCCTTAAAAATACTAGCATAAGATGCTACCAATCACTACAATAACTGACTTTTCAGGGACAGTGAAATAGTCATTTCAGGGCTTACCCAGTAATAAGACTAATAACCTGAATAATATTGATTTTTCTTATAAGCATTTTAAAAAACCTCTTTTCCATAAATAAAATAATTCAGATGTTTCCCCTAAATGATTAGGGTGGTTTTCCTATTTATTATACTATATTAACATACAGATGTGCAATCTTTAGAGTATTTTTTTTTTTGATAGTTTCTCATTCTGTAGTGGACTTTTCTTAAAGAAAAACCTGTGATTGGCAGATTTAAACATGACTATATTCTTTTTCTTTTCACAGGTTACCAACATCTGCAATGGATTCTTTTGAGTGTGACATTCAGAGTACCTCATTACAAAGTTATGTTAATGCAAAATTAGTTTTCTTTCAACATAAGTATTCAGTTATAATTATAAATTCCTGAGTAGCTGTGGTCTCTGGGCCTCAAATTTATATGAGACTGTAGAACCCACAGAGATTAACTGAAGACTCCCCTCTGCCATTTTTTTTAACAACCGTCAATGGAAACATTCAAATAAAATGTTACAGTTAACACATCCGGAACCAAACTGTTTGGATATCATTTTGTAGCTGGTCTTTGAAAGGTTTTGTCATATTGTCAAGGTCACCTAAATAAGAGGTGACATAGCCATTATTCTTCAAAATATTCACTTTATTTCCATTTTTCTATTGTTTCTTGATTCAGCTTTGAGGACTGACAGGTATATAATTGTCAAGAACTAGCAAACCAAAATAATGAAATAATTATATTTTGAGTGATGAACTTGTGAATACCGGTGGAAATTTCCTGAAGGAAATAGCCCACACTGCGCTTCTCTCTCAGCTTCCTCCTGCCCCTTGTCTTTCTTCACTAACTATAACCAATACCCAGTGTTCCTGGTTCACTACAGCAGAACCTTGAGAGGACTATAGCTGTCCCCAAACTCCCTGCCCTCCCCACTCTCCCCCACTCCCACCCCGTCCCCTTTTTCTCTTTCTGTCTTATCAAAATTGAAACTCCAGAGCAGCATATCCACACTCTCAGTCATTCTGTGTCATGCTTGTGATCCCCTCCCCCAGTCCCTCAGCAAGTTAAATTTTGAGGAGGCTTGCTTATGTAACTTTTCACTAGATAGAGTAAGCATGGGAAAACAAAACAAAACAAAATGGTGACTCCTTTCCTAAATTGAAAAGTTTACCTGAGTCCATGGAAGAAAGGAAAGTGGGTTGGCAGACCAATGTCCAAAACCCACCCAGCCAGTGAAAACCACTTGTGTATTACTCCTTGAATAGTACAGATTCTATTGATCATTGCTGGCATTATTGTAGATTATTTTGTTTTTCATTAGCTCCAGATGCAATTTTGAATTTTCAATTTGGCTGCTGGTTTATTCAATGTAGATGTTCTTCTGAAAGGTAAATTATGGTGTGTATGTGTGTGTTTTTATGTCTTTGAATTTAGGATAAGCACTGCAAAGTGGATAAAGTCTTGAGGATGTTAATTGTCATCATTTGCAAACATGTACACATAAATGGTGAATGGAAAATAGCAGATAATTACGTGGAAAATAAGCACGTGATACTATGTGGAATCTTGTATGTCAACTAAAAGAAAAAAATACACAAAAGGTAAAGAAAAACCCAAGCCCTAGATAACTGGCTCCTCTCTCAATGAGAAGTGCCTCTCACTTCTGTGGTGAGCCTGGGCCCATAAATAACAGTAGCATTCTGGTGCTGAGAGAAATAATGTGTCAAGAGCCCTGGGGTTGACATCAGATATTCTGGGTTTAGTGATATCTCCATCACATTTCTATCGTGCATGAACCTGGGCAAGACAATTGACTCTTCTCCATCCTTGGTTTTCTCATTCATGAAAAAAAAAATGCATGTTGAAATCATTTTGTAAGTTATAAATCTATGATAATGTAACATTTCTTTTATTTTAATAAGACCAAACCATTGACTGACTAATATGACACTCTTCAACCTCTATACAGACACTCCTCACTTGAGATTAGAGGAAGAAAGAAAATTAACTCAATCCCCAGGAAAAGTGGCTTAGCTTTCTTGGCTGATGTTTACTGTAGGAAAGAGGGCTGACTGTTTTATTTAAGGGACACATTTGGCAGGCATTGGACTTGACATGACATCTAGATGTGCTTTGTTTTGTTTTCATTAAGCCCACACTGCGTTTTAGAGGCCATGTGAGTAGGTAGCCTTATGCTAGGTCATAGTACAAGCAGTTTATACCCATATTCCTTGTATTAGGCTTCGTGACACTGTTATGTTGACTTGCCACCCCCTTTAGGAGGTTGAGTTTGCGACCTCGTTCTTCATCAAATATTTATTGTCTCTGTGAAAAGCCCCAGACATTCCAAGGCACCAGAGAACAGAAGCATGAGACTTGATATATGTCTTCTAAGATTTGGTTAATGCTCTGATGGGGAAGCAAAATTAAGTAGAAAAGAAATTGCATAAATTCCATATGCATTAAGAGAATAATGCTGTGGGAGCAATTTTATCCAGCCCAGGTGATGAGGAAGAACCAGGTGGGGAAGAAAATAACTCCCATTTGAAGAGTGGGAGAAACTGTAGAGGGCGGGGAAGGAAAGGTTGGGAACAAGAAAGAGCACTGCAGACAGAGAGAATGCCAAAAGACTCTTGGAGGCTCTTTGAAAGAAATTTACTTTCTAAATGCCCGGATGCATTTGTGTTAACCACCAGACAACCTTTCGATTTTTACATCGCAAATCACAAATAAAATACCCCGAGGGATCAACTGATATTAAATGTAATTGCTATAAATATAATAACACACTAAAATATTGTCCTGCTATTATTATCTATGCTGGTATGGTTAAATATGTATTTAAAAATAACCAAGATTTAATTAAATTAGATTAATCAGAGTGGCAACACTTACATTACTACCTGTTGTATTAGGGTAAGAGTTATGATGCTCTCAGTCAATGACCATGACAAGTCTATTAAAAAGCTTTCAATTATAATTTAGTATCTGTAATATAAAGGAACTGAAAGCATAAGGTAGTCTTTTCCTCAATCAGATCATACCTGAACTGAGCATAACTCCTGGTTTGGTTAACACTGATAGTAAAGAGTAGTAAAAACAGTTCTGAACAAGCAACTACAAGACCTATGTTTTGTTCTGAACTCTGTCCTTACCTAACTGGGAAGTTTTGATTCATGATTCCTTGAGAACAATCTTGACACCTTACTGATTAAAGTGGATGGAAAATAAATATAAGCCTTGAAGTGCCATTCAAAAAACGACAGGGTTGGCAATGGAACCAGAAATTTCTGGAAAGTTTCTGGAATTTCTGGAAAGTGACCATCTCTAAACCAGGAATTCACCAACTTTGTCTACATTGTTTATACTGAAATTTCTTGCCTTTCCAATAACACAAAATTGGCATTGGGTTTGTTTACTAACCTGAAAGGGAGGCTATAGAAAAAGCACCAAGTACAGGAGGAAAACTGTGGATGTGTTGCAATCATTGGAGCCGATGTCTCTAATTCTCTGGGAGTCTGAAGCTGACCGTGGCGTAAAGAATTATAGGAAAAGGATCCATCTATTTGGCAACTGTCTGGAGCAGGATTGGTCACATGCATGAGAGTGGTCCTTTTTCTGTATAGTGTAATCACACTTATAAGATATAGGGCCATACTGCTCCATGGAATCTTAATGATGTTGTGTGACAGCCAGGGTTTTTCTTGCAGATAGCAGAGTACATTCCAAATAGTTTAAGCAGGAATGAATTTACTCAGGCGTAGTTGATAGTTTATGGAACATCAGAGAAGTCAGAGAACCAGACTGTGTTTCACGGAGTCAGGAAAAATGTTCAACCACACCATGGAACTCTTTTAGGGGAAATGACCGTGAAGTTGATACCCATTCTTAGGAAACTATGCAGCCATATGGATGCCCATATTCCACCATGCTGTCCAGAGCATCTGATTTCCCTTTGACTAGTTGCCATGTTATGCAGGTGCATTGATTGGAAGAAACTGATCACAGTCCTGCAGCCTCGCTGGAAGGGAGTCAATGACATTTGTGTTTAACTTTCTGGTCTAAATAGTAAAGAAAAGGAAACTAAACAAATGCTGGAACATATGTTAAGTGAACCAAATATCAGCATCCAATACAAGTAATATCAAATAATAATAATAACAACAACAATGGTCTAAATGTATTTAGCACTTATTGTCTGCAAAGCCTTGCTCTAAGCCCACTAGTTGTTTTATAAATTCAATCCTTAGGAACAAATTGCAATGTACGTATTCACCCACATTTTACAGAAAATGAGGTTTAAGAGATATAGTTAGTTGTCCCAGGTCAAATAGTTGCTGAATGGCACAGCCAGACAATGGATCCCAGCCACCTGGCTCCAGAGGCCATGACTTTTTAACCACTATCACACACTACCTCTCATGCACAGAGGAGGGCACCCTGACAATGAGGGAAGGAAGGAGTGTGGCAAATGTTAACTGTTAAATAATCAAAATCAGCCCAACCTTATTGGCTTTGTTAAATGGATGGGCTTTGATCTAGAATTTGGCCCCAAACTGGAATGTGACTAGCTAGGACAGAGAGCAAAGCTACCAAGTAGAGGAGTTTTTCTCTTCTAGGACACAGTAAAGTTTGTGCAGCTTGGTTGTGCTGTGCAGGAGAATGAGAAGCATTCTGGCTATTTCTATTCCTTCCAGCCCTGCCTTTTGCTTTACTGACATAAGAAACCTTGACTGGTGGCATGGGAGAGTAATGTATTCAGGAAAGGTCAGGGGAGATTGTGTTTTGCCTCTTGACATCATCAGGAAAATCTTTGGCCTCATTGTAATTACAGATCTTTATCAATGGCCAGGAGAGGAGATGGTGAGGATGCAGTTTGGTTTCCAAATCCCAGGCTGATCGTGGAACATAAAAATGGAGAAAAATCATCTCTGACTTGTAAACAGAAAATCTGAAATGGAAATCATTGAGAAAAAACAAATATTGACTCAGTATAACAGTTTTTATAACTACACTTTAAAAATGCATCAGACCGGATTTACTAGAACAACAGTGGCTGCCCTTTCTTATTTGATGTTTTTATTGTTTGATTTTGATGTGAAATTTTTGTCCTTTGATGTCTAGATCATCAGGACACATATGCCTGTTAATTACTTTATTTAGAAATACCATTGTTCAGATGTTAACATGGCTCATGTTTGGACTTCCTGGGGACAATAAGGCTCTCTAGGGGGTACTTTGCCTGATGAAAATGTTGTTTCTGAATGATCATTCCTTCCTGGCATAAGTCTCCTAATAAATACCACTAATGAGCATATTAAATATGTTTCTTCCTTCATTATG